GCATTGTTCATTTATTACAAATACACACATACACATGCTTACATACGCATACACACACACACGAACACAAACAACTGCTACACTAGCAGCAGATGCAGATGCAACTGTGTCTGCAGCACTTGCAACAGTCATAGCAGTTGGCAATTGCAACTACAAATTCACACGCATTAGACACACACACGCACACAAACAGTTGTTGTCAATTGTGGCACTAGCATATTTGAAAAAAGAAAAAGAAGAACAAGAAGAAGGAGAAAAAAAAAAGCGTAAAAGAAATAATGAGCAGCGGTTGTCAATTGTGGCACTAGGGAGAAGAAGAACAGAAAGAAGAAGAAAAAGTCTCTCTCTCTCTCTCTCTCTCTCTCTCTCTCTCTCTCTCTCTCTCTCTCTCTCTCTCNCTCTCTCTCTCTCTCTCTCTCTCTCTCTCTCTCTCTCTCTCTCTCTCTCTCTCTCTCTCTCTCTCTCTCTCTCTCTCTCTCTCTCTCTCTGATAAGAGCATGTACCCCTAGCTATTCCTACAGGCGGCTCGAATCTATTGGTGGGAAGCAGCATCTGCTCGAAAATGGGTCGGACTCCACCGTCCCTTGACAATGTCCAAGATTTTTGGAAGAAGGAACGATTAAGAAAACTTAAGCAATGTAAGAATCCTCCTCCATCCAACTTAAATTAGTATCGTAGATGCTTGGGGATTCAGTGAGCAGGGCAAGAAGTGAACCAGGGGGGAAAACCGCTACCTTGGGCCCAAGGGGCACCAGGACAGTTGGAATTGTTGTGACCTTCTCCCCCTTCTCGTTAGGTTGTAATGCGGGGTTGATATTAAGTATACTATGGATACTATGGATCAAGGGGGTCACCCAGGGACCCCGCGGCTCAAGCCGGGGTAAGGGTTTATCCCCTGGACCCCCGTCGCGAGGATCCCAACCGCGCACCCTGCCATTTCACCCCTGCCCCTGCCCCAACCCCGACACCCCCGCCCCCACCCTTGCACACCCGCCCCAGGAGTGTGCAATCTCTCTTCGGACCCCCCATTATTTTTTTATTATTATTTATTTTATTTTATTTTGGGGGTGGAGCTACGGACCCGAGGCTGAAGGTGCCCACCCTCGGAACCCCACTGGGGCCTAAGGGCGAGGGCTCAAAGGGTTTAACCCCTGGACCCCTGTCGCGAGTATCCCAACCATGCACCCTGCCATTTCACCCCTGCCCCTGCCCCAACCCGGGCACCACCGCCCCCGCCCCCGCCCTTGCACACCCGCCCCAAGAATGCGCAATCTCTCTTCGGACCCCCCACTATTTTTTTATTATTCTTATTTTTTTTGGGAGGGGGGGGGGAGCTCTAGACCCGGGTGTAAGGGTGCCCACCGCCGGACCCCCACTGGGGCCTCAGGGCGGGGGCTCGGCAACCCTGCTCTGGATGCTCTGGATACTCTGAATGTAGTTTGGGCGATATTATGGTAATGCTCAGATGATGCTCGGGTAATGCTCATATCATGCTTAGCTTTGCTCATCTCTACAACATTTCCACCAAGGATAATGGGTTGGGGGGGGGGGGAKGGGGGGGCGAAGAAATTGAGAATCTGGTCGAGACTCACCTATAATTTTGGAGGCCCAAAACAGGGCATCGTACGGGTTATTAGAAATATATCATGCGGTGCCATAGGCAGCCTTGATGCGGAAAGAAATTATGCCCACCCCTAATCAAGCCCTATCCTGATTCCCCTAGCTTTTTGTAAAGGTTCATTTGGATTTTCCACATATACTAATAATCCAATAATTTAATGAGCCTACTTTTCTTACATTTGCCAATGTCGAAAATACTTTGTCATATACTTTAGCATAAAACTTCTCACAAAATAGTTATTCTCCTACATAAAAAAATCGAAACTTTGAAATATTGGCGATAACAAGTATAATTTTTTTTAGTTGCATCTGCTAATAGTTTAATAATTTAATATAGCTTACTTTTCTTACATTTGCCAATGTCGAAAATACATTGTCATCTGGGTAGCGCGGCGTACATGTACGCGGGTTGCGCGTACACGCGTACACGTATTCTTGTACGCGACACTTACGCGCGTACACATATTCTTGTATGCGACACGTAAGCGCGTACACGTACTCCCGTATGTGGGAATACGTAAAAAAAAAAAAAAAACCGTCATCGAACAAATCCGAACAAAACGTATGTTTTGCAAAATGATATTTCAAATAACTTTTGCTTGAGACTCATCTCGAAATTCTGTACCAAACTCAAGTTAAAAATCAAAGATACAAAAAACAAATAAATTGAAATAATATAAAAAACAAATAGGAAAAAAACACACAAAAATAAAAACAAACTTCTATAACAAATAAATGTTATGCAGAAACATGATACAAACAACTGGGACTCATCCCCGAATTCCCAACCAAACTCGAGTAAGAAATTAAAAACTAAACAAAAGGGAATCTAATCATAATGATTAAAAAACTATTTAAAAATATTTTTTTAAATTTATTAAGGTTTTTTATTTTTAAATCGAGCTTGATTTGGAATTCGGGTATGACTCCCAGGCAAATGTTGTTTGTCTCATTATTCTTCACAACATATTTTTTTTTCAGATTTTTTGGATTTTTTTTATTTTATTTTTTTCTACATACTTGTACGCGCTATTTTGGGTTCGTACGCGTACGCCGGAATACGTATGCGTAGGGGGTGCTACCCAGATTGTCATATACTTGAGCATAAAACTTGTCACAAAATAGTTATTCCCGTATAAAAAAAAAAAAATCGATTTTTGAAATATTGGCAATAACAAGTATAATTTTTTTTTTTGCATCTGTTTCGTTATGTGTCATGAAGAGCCAGTTTTTTGTTGACATTTTTGTGACAGTGGTCAATGCATGTCTTGCGCGATCGATTTTAAAACTAGTTTTTCAAAAATTACTTCTAAATTTTTTGAAGCACGTCCCGTTTTGAACTGTGTGTCTGTTCTGCAAGCTCTTTCTGTACATCACCTTCACCTGCTACGCACATATTGAAGGTTTTCTTTCCAGCTTCCATCTACCTATTTTGATGGGGATCCTTCTTGGAGCAATATAAGGGCTCACTTTGATTTCTCGAATCCTTCACGTTATTTGATCATCAAGTCAAATGACGGTTGTTAGCTCGACCCCTCCAAATTCTCATTTTCTTCTCCTCCCATTTTTTTATTTTTTTTTAATTTAACTCATTTTTTTCCTTCGTTTTTTTCTCTTTCTTCTTGCTCATCGAAATCTTTCGCCTCAGACTCCTCCTGCAATTATTTCATTTTCTTTTCCCTTCCATGACCTCCTTCCTTTTCTTTTCTTCCCATTTTTTTCTCTTCCACCTAAAACTCTAGATCTCCTCTTTGCTGTTCATGTTCCCCCCTTTTCAAKTACTAATGACAAATTGCAAAAATTGAGAAGGTTTAACCAACGATTGGTAACGAAAAATTGCGGTTTAACCAACGGTTGTTAACCGCAAATTGTGAAAATCGAAGTGATCAAAAGTTTGAGACGACAAAACAGAAAAATAAACAAAGGAGTTATAGAGTTTGTCCCTTGAGCTACTTGAAAGGGGGAAAACGTAAACAACAACGAAGAGATAAGGATTTTGTCCCTTATTCAAATTGTTTTCTAGATTTTAGCAACTTGCTAACCTATGGTTATGTAACATTTGTATGAACAAGTGAGTCACTTAAATACTGTAATTGCTTCGTAGCGACTGAATTGACAGTCTTTATTGGCTAGAAACAGGTAACGCTCTTCCAGGGTCTGTCAGCTACAATTGTGTATGTTCCTAGAGTTTACTGGCCATGCATATTATATGCTTCAAGTTCTACTTAATTTAGACACAGACTTCAACTTTTTTTCTTTGGTCCTGAACCTATCGGGCTTCTAATCACCTAAAACATTTACCAGTATACTAACATGAATCATTTGGCTTCGAGGTTCAACTATAGTACATTGGACTCGGACTACTGGGACTATGGGACTAAAACGCGGGACTTGAGTTAGATGTGAAATCCTCTCATTTAACTGTTTATTGAAGAAAAGAAAAAAAATAAAAGAAACTTATAATATTTGTAGGACGAAGACACGAGGCTTGAGCGAAACGCGATACTTAACAAATTTTTATTATATTCTTAGAGTAGTACTTTATGTGACAAATTAAGCACAATCTAGATTAACGTTGGGGTGCGAGTAAGCTCTAACTTGAAGTATCCGAATACATGTATATACTCTCAACTAAAGCAAACACCTAATCCTTTCATTCAGTAACATGACCCTGCAGTAGAGGCTAAACATATTGGACACATATCTTGTTAACTCCGAGATCTCGACAAAACTTCCTGATCGGATTGAGTGTAGGACTCGAAAGTAAGAAGAACAAAGTTTGCTAAAGATTTTAAGAAAGTTGAGGTTGAGTCCCACGTTAGAAATGTTTTTTTGGTCAATGAATTTTCTGCAGGGTAGTTGAGGTCCAGGACCTGAGGATTGCAAGAGAAGTGAAGAAAAGTAACGAAGGACAGAAAGGGAGAAAGATGCATAGGTATATATCACCTATAGGAGGCAATAATGTGTGTCTTAAGATAGCTCCATTGGGAAAAAAAACAAAAACCTCCTCGCATTAAGGGTTAAAAAAAAAAACATCAGAGGGAAGTGATATGCATGTATATCTTCGTGTACTTACCTCCTACCAACCCTCATTGCAACGATGTCTCTTTTCACAACAAACCTACGTTACATGGTCGAACGTATGGGATAGTCACAACCGGTCGATTGTCCGCCGGGGTCCCCCTACGTCTGATCACAAAAACAAATTGGTGGGTCTAGAACATGGACTTAGGCGGCGGAGGGGTGGACTATGGGGACAGGCGAACCGGGGGCGCTGATGGGAAGATTTTTTGGAGGTCGGTAAGGCCTTTGAAACGAAAAACAAAACGGCCTAAGATCGGTCGTCAGATCTCTGAGATCGACGACCCAGATTGTGTTATTTTAAAATTTGAATATGGCGGCTCTGGCATTCTCCCCTCTGTGTCTTAGCCCCCGCACTGTCGTCGGAGTTCGGTGTTGCCATTACCGAACTCCAACGTCGACGACCGCAACCCCACACGCCATCGCTTGCCCACGCCAAGTAAGCCACCTTCCCTTCGTCCACCTCCTCTCCTTCCTCCTCCAACTCCCCCTCCTCCTCCTCCTCCTCCTTCCACTTCTCCTATTTTCCTCCTTTCGCTTCTCCTCTCCTCATCCGCCTCCTCTTCATCCTCCTCCTCTTCATTTTCCTCCTCCTCGTCCTCCTCCTCGTTGCCATCCTCCTTCTTCTCCTCCTCCACGTTCTGGTCCTCCTTCTCCTCCTCCACGTTCTGGTCCTCCTTCTTCTCCTCTTCCTCTTCTTCTTCCTCCTCCTCTTCTTCTTCCTCCTCTTCTTCTTCCTCCTCCTCAGACGTCGTGGCCTCCTCCTCCACCCCCTCCTCCTCCTCCATCGTTGGGCCCTCCTCTTCTTCCTCCTCTTCCTTCTCCTCTTCTTTCTTCTTCCTCCTCTTCTTCCTACTCCTCATCGTCCTCCTCCTCCTCTACTTCTTCCTCCTCCATCTCCTCCTCCTCCTCCTCCTCCTCTTCATCTTCATCCTCTAAGCTTTCTCCCTCCTCTTCCATCGTCATGGCCTCCTCCTCCTCTTCCCTTTCCTACTGTTTTTCTTTGTCCTCCTCCTCCTCCTTCTCCGCGTCGTCGTTCTTCTCGGAGTCCTCGTCCTCCTCCTCTACTTCTTCTTCCTCCTTCTCCTCCTCCTCCTCCTCTTCGTCTTCTTCTTCCTGCTCTCCCACCTCCTGCTGCGTCGCCGCAGTCTCCTCTTTCTCCACCTCTTCTTCCTCCTCCTCTTTTTTCTTCATCATCCTCGTACTCCTGCTCGCCGTCATTTTCCCCTTACTCGTGGTCCTCCTCCTCGCCCTCTTCTTCTTCATACTCCTCCTCCTCCTCCTCATCCTTCTCCTCCTCTTTGTCTTCCTCCTCGTCCTTCTCCATCACCACGGCCTCCTCCTCCCCCGCGTCTTCTTCTTCCTCCTCGTCCCGCCAGTCCCTGTCCTTCTACTCGTCGTTCTCCTCCCTATCGTTGCCGCTTCGATAACGGCGTCCTCCTCCCCGGTTTCTTTTTTTTTTGTCAAATCGATCAATCAATCAATCAATTAATCGAAGATCCCATCGAATCGATTAATTCGATAGGGATCTTCATATGTCAAGATACTATTGAATCAATCGATTCGATGGTATGTTCGATTGATCGATTGATGGATCTCAATCAATCGATCGATCGACTGCCAATCGATTGATTGACTGATTGATTGATTGGAMAAAAAAAAAAAAAAAAAAAAAAAAAGGGAAGAACGGGGCCCTTGACAAAAACAAAAGACGAAGTAGAAAGGGCGAAGATTGATGAGACGAGGACGAAGAAGAAGAACCGGGGGAGGACGAGGTTGTGGCGATGGAGAAGGATGAGGAGGAAGATGAAGAGGAGGACGACGACAAAGAAGGAGGAGGAGGTGGAGGAGGAGGAGGAGGAGGAGGAGGAGGAGGCCCCAACGATGGAGGAGGATGAGACAAAGGAGGAGGAGGAGGACGACGACTAAGAAGAAGAGAGCAAGGAGGAGGAGAACAAAGAAGAGGTGGAGAAAGAGGAGGCCACGACGATGGAGGAGGACGGAGAGAACTTAGAGGAGGAAGAAGAAGAGGAGGAGGACGGCGAGGACTGGGAAGTGGTTGAAGAAGAAGCGAAGGAGGAAGAAAAGGAGGAGGAGGAAGAAGAGGAAAAGGAGGAAGAAGAGGAAGAGAAAGTACCAGAGGTTTCGACGATGAAGGAGGAGGAGGAGGTCGACGAGGAGGAAGCCACGAGTCCACGACGATGGAGAATGACAATCCGCATGAAGAAGGTGGGGAGGAGAATGAGGCCCCGCAATTTTTTTTATTTTTATTTTTTTTGTTTTTATCAACCAATCAATCGATCGATCGAGGATCCCGTCGAATCGGATTGATTCGACAAGATCTTGCTTGACATATCAAGATCCTATCGAATCAATCGATTCGACCGGATCTTCGATCGATCCATTGATTGATTGAAAAAAGAGTGGCAATGGACGTAGTCTCAATTGATTGATTGATTCGATGGCCGTTCTTGAAGGATGACACACATAAATCGAGACTACGGCCCTCGTCGCTCGTGTGTCAATCAATCAATCAATCGATCGATCAAAGATCCTGTCAAATTGATTGATTCGATGGGATCTTCATATGTCAATTTTTGTCAAGATCCTATCGAATCAATCCGTTCGACGGGATCCTCGATTGATTGATTGATTGATCAGACCAAAGGAAGAAAATAAACAAAAAAAAGGCGAGGGGGGGGAGGAGGCGGCCGTTAGCGAATCGACTACGATGGGGCGGAGAACGACAAGTAGGGGGACAGGTATTGGCAACACGAGGAGGAAGAAGACGAGGTCGGGGAGGATAAGGCCGTGGAGACAGAGAAGAACGAGGAGGAGACGAAGAGGAGGACGACAACGAAGGAGGAGGAGGACGACGACGACGAAGAAGAAGAGGTGGAGGAGAGGGAGAGAACTTAGAGGAGGATGAAGAAGAAGAGGAGGAGGAGGAGGGTCACTGCTGCAGTGCTAAACTTGCCCACTGCAGCACCGGCCTCTTCATTGAAACCCTCCTACCACCCAACCCCMCCCCCCCACACACCCCAAAGCTGTTTCTATTTTTTTTTCTGTGTTTGTTCAGAATAGCCCCAAAATGTTTTTGGGGGTTCCCCGGGCTGTGCAATGGCCCCCCCCCACTTCTTTCTTTTTTTTTTGAAGTGGCAAAAACGCTGTTGTCCGGTTTTCCGGACAACTTTCCCTCGACCGTCTCCCGGAGACGACCGGGGGAGACGTCCCCCAATCGGACAGCTGGTAATGTGGCAACAAAAATTTTTGGAGTATACCTAAGGTTACAGAGTTCCACCATATATCACTTCCATGGTTCGCAAAACTCAAACTGCGAGGTGGACGCTCCCAACCACTTATCCACATCATTGCATGCTACACATCTCAAGCCTTGGCTTAGCTAGCGACCCTGGCATCTACACTCAGAACAAAAAGTTATGGGCCAAAAGTGGAATTACTTCGAGTATGTTCTAAAGAAGAAATGCCAGAAGCAGAGTAGGGAATAAATGTTGTCCCGATTATCATAAAACCCACTCCCACAAACCCTGAATAATGTTTTTTGTCAAGAAAGACATTGTGATCGTTCTTGTAGGAATACTCGATGCCTCTATTAGTCATAATATGAAAAATACGCCGAGCTAAGTTGGACAGGGCGAAGACGGTTGAAAGGATGGGCAACTCGAAGGCTCAATGGGAGAAATTACTAGCATACATCAAGATCGCCTACAACCTATTTGCACATTGATCATCCTTACAGCTCAGTTTAATCCAAAATAATCTTTTGTCACGAACAACAGTTGCACGAAGACACATCCGCTTGTTCATATACAAATCCCTGCTCCATCCATCATTACGATTGCCTCCACATTCACCCAAACGACTTCGGATACGAGGCTCAAAATGAAACCCTTCATGACACACTTGAGGGAATTCAAAGAGCATTGCACACCAAGATTTTAACCGCAAAAGTAAAAGAGCACATTGTTCTTCTCACTCAACCTTAAGAATACTGCACCCGTTCACTGACCTCACTGAGTCGAACGTTTGTATTTTGTTACTACTCCCTTTTTTTTTTTTTTTTTTTTTTTTTTTGGGAAAAAAACTCCAATCTATTTGTGGGGAGCAGCACGTGCTGGGAACCGGGCCCAACGTCCCATATGAAAGTTGACATA